TTAGTTTGTGGATGTAATATGCATTTTTTCGAGAAATCTTTTGAATCACAAAAGCACTTTAATGAAACATCGCATGAAAATGAACTTAACCCGAAATTCATAGCACCGAGCAGGGGGAAGTGAATGATGATGACTATGCTGATGGACTCCAGCCTGACCATTCACAAAGCCATCCACTACTGCGGTCGCAGATGCGCCAGTCTCTAGAGCTACATCACGTCGAGAAAGTCGCCCAGACCTTGCCGTCGACGTAGGGGTGACGGCCGAAGTTGCAAAGGAACTAGAAAAAGGGAAATGAAATAGATGACCACTGGGCGGCGGTGGCGCTGGTGGTGAAGGACCCAACAATAGCTCTTCAGTGCTCATCGCCGCAGTTAAGCCATGCTCGGCTAGCCGTAAGTATGAGATTGGGTAGTGGCGGCCGTAGTCGACGCCCGGAGGACAGACACGAGGGCTAAACATTCCACCTGAGTGGTGATGAAGATGTTGGTACTGTGAATAGTTTTGAATGGTTGACTTATGGAAGTTATTAAGATATTCTGTTCGACGATCTAAATGCACTGGCTGTCGTGAAGATCCATCACGATAGCAACTGCTACCAGCATAGCCGGAAGGTGTGACTGTTGAGATGCCTGTGCAGACTTCTGCTTCATCTACACCGACGCCCTGACTAGGAACATCGCCGATATCAGCCTAATCATCATAGAAAAAAAAGAAGATATAAATTAATAGACAGGTATATTGAGTGCTTTTTATTTTATTGTAGGGAAGCACTTAAAAAGTGGTCATATGAACCTTGGTGGATAAGTAATTGACAAGAATAAGCAAAATCAAAATAAATCAAAGTGCCAAGCTAATTTTGCTGGTTACTTGAAATAGGTGTAAGAAGAGACCTCTACTGTACGCAAATAATCAATATATAGACTGGAAGAATCTCGGTTTTTGATAAAACAAGCGTTCTGTAAGATGAAAATGTGTTAATGGCGAAAGATTGACCATAAACTTATTTTGGCACGAGCAAATTAGCCTTTCTATGATGGAACGATTTTAGGATTGAATT